CGTTCATATTTTATGTTTGATAAATATTTTTTTTTATTTGGTTTTGGTTTTTGTTTTTGTTTTTTTTTCAATTTTTCATCTAGCAATCCATTTAATATATTAAAAGTAACGCCACTATTTCATTGGAAACGATGCAGCTTTTTAAATGTAATTAAAATATTACTCCATTTAATGCATTAATAAATTGATTTTACTATATATTTTCAATTAAAGGCCGAGATATAACGAATATCTTCATCAAGATGCATTTGATGTAATGTTTTCATTTGTTTTCGTTTAATGTTGTATAATTACAAGCTGGTATTTTTCATTGGAAATAATTAGACCAAATTGATGAATTTCAAAATTGAAAAATTTCTGTTTTTATTTTATATTTCAATGGTAAGTGTTGGGCCAATAAAACATCACCTACATTGTATAAAACTATTGATTCGAATATTATTTATGATTAACCATTATAAGACAGATTTTAAAATTTTATAAGTATCTCTATTTGCTCAAAAGAAATAAATTAAAACTGCATAATTGTAGACTCGTGTATGTATGGATGTATGTATGTATGTATGCATTTATGTGTAAACACGTACATTTAGGAAACAACAGAAACATTATCCGATATGAACCCTCAATATTCCGAGTAAACGAAGAAAGAAACAAGTATAAGAAGGTTAACGTTCACCACGGATTATCCGTCGCAAATATGAAAATTTATAGTCGACGATGAGAGTCGAATACAGAGGTAAAATCGAAAGAGAAAGAGGGAGACAGCAAGAGTAGCGAAGTGTAGATAGAAGCTGGAAAGTAACGGAGACGAATAGAGATTTTCCCGAGAGCGTCAGGTGGTTCTTTCAGTTTTCGTCTTTGTCTCTCAAAGGCTTGGAGTACGGGGCGAATCATCGTTGTCGCTCTCGTCTTGAAGTTCCGCTGCGTCGGTTAGCTTCTCTTGGAATGTCCCCCACTTTCTTTCTCTTTCTCTGCCACTCTTTTCATACACTTTTTCAGGGAACGACATCAAGAGAGAAAGAGAGAGAGAGAGAGAGAGAGAGAAAAATATATATATATATATATATATATATATATATATATATATATATATAATATATATATATATATAATATATATGAGAGCCTCGGAAAAGCTCGGAGAACGTCGTGAGTTCGCGGATTATGCGCGGAATATTATGGCATACCGTCGACGGAAAAAACTTTTCGACTATTCCAAGAGAACTTGTGCGTACCCATTTTGCTCATCTTTTCTTTTTATTTTTATCATTCTTTTATTTTATCCTTCTTATGACCGGCTCCCAAACTTCGCCCCGAGGCAAGGAAAATTTCCTTGGATTTTCATCGTTTGGCGACAGGCCAATTATATTTTACCCGAAGGATTCGAGAGGACGCGTTCTAGAGGTCTGCTGATATAGTTTTGTAAAGGAATAATTTTCCTTTGGGTCGATTCGATCTTCTTTAACATACCTACCTTTCTCCTTTCTTTTATGTTACATCGCCTCTTTGTCTCGTTTATTTTTCTTTATTGATTCACATTGGATTTTATATTCAGCGGAAGAGAGGAAAATAATGCCATCCCATAAGAATCCTTATTATTTAGCGCGTGCTAATTTCATCAGAAATTATGTATTTTAAAGGTTATAGGCGGCAAACGGTTTATTTTTTACAGTTCGCAAACTTTAGAAAAATAATAATAACGATTAATTACGTTGTACGCTCGATTTATAAGCCAAAACCGCACATTAACAATATATTATTATGAATAGTATAGCATGCTGTTCTGTCGTTTTGATAATAAAATCTAGTGAACATTAAAGAAAAATAACGATACACATAATTCAATTTAGATAATAAATTATTATTCATTTCCCTTAGAGTATACGTATGATAACGAGAAAAGAAGTAAAACTATTAGTTTTACCGATATTAATATTATCGATTAAAGTATTATTCAATTCCTTCGTAATTTCAAATAAGTCTCTAAAATTTTCAACGTCTCTCTTTATAAAATCGGAATAAAATTACATACGGTTACACGAAGTTGCCTTTAAAATATGTTTGAAAATGCCCTTTTAGAGTTAAATTTCGAGCCAATAACGACACGTTTATCAGGAAAAATATTATGCTAATTCTCTTTTATAATACATGACTTCCTTATTATTCCGTAGAGTGCGGAATAAATGAATTTTTTCCCCGTGGTGCAAGTCACTCCTTCCAAGGAATCGGTATGCTTTGGTACTTTACGATCAATATCCGTTACTTAATATACTATCGCTTCTTCAAAGCAACTCCGATACACTTCGCGCAGATCCGACGAGAATGGATTTAAAAATGTTCGCCTTCTCATTCTGCAACGACATTTCACGTATTTGCCGGCACAGTGTGCGAAATACTAGCGAAAAAGCCTGCCTCCTGTATTGTTACGCATCCTGGATTCATCGGTTCCGACACCTCTCCCCCCCCCCCCCCCCCCAACCACTCGAGCATTAATGGATCAGCCGGACGTACATTCATGATCTTGGAAAGATAACGAGAGCGCACCCGCTCTCTCATCACTTTTATTATCGAGGAGAGGAGTTTGTTGCGGGAGTTTCTGTTAAAATCAGAGCAGCCGACTTGGTCGTCCTTCCTCTTCGTCTCCCTCACAATGCACTACCGTGGCCAATAACAGTGCAGCTGTCACACGAAGGGGATTAGAGTAGGGATCACTTTGACGTTATCTCGCGTTAGAGGGAGAAAGTTATCTGGGGTTTCGCGGGCGCTTTGAAGGCTCGGAGCTCGTCGCCCGTAAGTAGGCGTCTCGGATAAATGATGGTGCGGAGGTTGGCGGTGAAGTTCTTGCCGCCGAGATAAGCGGTGATGCCTTTGTCGTGATGCTGCACCGCTGAATAAAAGCAGTGGAAATGACGTGCCGAAGGTGCGAGGACGCAAGCGAGTCATCCATTGGGTGGATGGGATGGACGAGTGGGCGCTTTGCCGCGGAATTTAATTTGCTATTTTATTTAGACCTTCAGTATTCTTCGGCACTACCATTGTCTTTGTCTTTCCTTGATAAATTAACGTTTTCATACAAGATTTATTTCATAGCCTTAGCTACGTTTTTTTCTAGTGCTTGGTATGCATATTCATGAGGAGGACATAAGATTCGTGAAAGGATAATACAGGGCTTGTTCATTGACCTTGAAAATATTAATTATATGTTAGTCGAAGATCTCAATTTACGAAGATAACGATTTCTATTGTTTTTGTGAGTTTTTAACTGTAAATTTGCATTAAATTTGCAGTTTCCAGTAATGAATAGGCGCTACTCGAGTACGCAACACCACAAATCCTTTTCTGTCAAATAACATCCTACGACATTTCTATAAACTGTGAAGATATCTTTTGCAAGTTGTATTTTCTTTTGACAATAATTTAATGACTATGGAGTACGATCTTATCATCGCGAAAAATGCACGTACCAATGTGTACAGACATATTCACGCGCGTGCACATAAACAAAAACCAAATTATTAGAATAGTAAATTTTAGACAACTTTATTTATATTTATCGTATTAATAATAAAAATGCTAAAAATTTTCATAATAATTTTATACAATAAAAAACTTTACATACGTAATAGCATAATAAAGAATAGTGAGTCGGAGTATCCGTGTCTTGACATTTTAATAAAATGTTGAGATGGCCTCCAATCATTTTTATTGTTTCGGATTCAGCAATAAAGTAACTTTAATGAAATTCGCCGAATGTTAAGGCGAAATGTGCATAATTCAAATTATGATAGCAATGAATTGTCTGGAAGAAAATCGTTACTGAAATAATTAATTGAACTCTAATCCTTCGCTGAACTCCAAACGCACGAAGAATAGAAAAGGATTCTTGACTTATCGAATTCTCGATTTATTGGAGATGGATGATTATTGCTCGAGGCATATTAAAGATTGTCGTTTTAATTGACGTCGTTAGAAAAAAAAGAAGAAAGAAAAAAAAAGAAGAAAGAAAAAAAAAGAAGAAAGAAAAAAAAAGATGAAAGAAAAAAAAAGAAGAAAAAAAAAGGAAAAAACTTGGGATAGAAGTAATAAACGCGCAGAGTTAAATCAACACTGTTGCGTTGCAATTGTGTTCATGAGCTGCGTAAAATTAAACGAAGAAAAGAATCGATGAGCGAAGTCGACGACGATATTGGAGATTAACTGCTGCGGGGCATCGTCCTGCCAATTATTAATTGACAAGTTTACTTTCCTCGTCATTAGGCGACGAAGGGAGAGACGATGACGAAAATCGGAGAAAACTTTCGGTTGCCGCAATTACGATTAATAAGTTACTCGTACACTCGTCTGCTTCTCCTTTTTTCTGTTATTTCTTCCTTACTTATTCGTTTCTATTACTTTTTCCTTCGTTCGTCTTCCTTATCGATCACTTTTTGTTACCTTCTGAAACAAGTTGCTGCCTCATTATAAAACTTCAACTCTCTAACGACTGACATTTATTAGAGAATTGGCATTTGAAACTAGTATACAACGCATTCAGCTTGATACGGTATTTAAACAATATTTATTCAAAAAACTTCTTAATTGGACAAAATGTGTAATTCATGTATTGAGAAGAATGACATATTTGCTATAAAAGAATTTACTAAAGACATTTTTTAATCCCAGTTATAAGCTACTATCAAATATAATTGAATTAGGATATAAAGATAAGATGACTCGTGAATGAAGATGAACGTGAGAGGTTAGAATTTGACTAACAATAGTTATTTCACATTTATTGTTTTTGTTGTTGAAAATAAAATTTTCTTCGTATATTTTATAAATACTTGATTTATCACTTACATTACAATTTTAACAGATGTTAATTTTCACAGATATGTATCTCTTAAAGTTATATAATAATTATTAAAACTACACGCACACGCACACGCACAAGTACACGCACACGCACACGCACACGCACGCACGCACGTACATATAAAAATAAATAATATTTTCCTCGCATAAAAAATCTTATACAAAACAAAAATGAAAAGAATTCGATCGAGAGATATCATTAATTTTCTAGAAATTCACATTTTCGAACTGTTCATTAACATCGAAGTACAGACGTTTCTTTGCGATTACGTTTTTCAGCCACATAGCCGATGCCTTAGGAGTTCTCCGTCGATTTGGATCGTTGAAATCAACGCGTATCAAACCAAATCCATAACTGAAGACAGACGAAATCAAGGCTTACACGTTATTTTCAAAATAATATATGAAATTGATATATTCACCGAATATATGAACTTACACGTAATTGGAAAAAAATTCATAGCCGTCAATTAAACTCCAAATAATGTATGATTTAACGTTGCACTTATCTTTTTTTATGGCATATAATACTTGTTCCATAAATACGTAGAGGTATTTAATTCTAGAATAATCATGTAAATCATCCATACTTGGTACGCCACTTTCTGTTATAAGGACTAGAGGATTATTGTAATTATCTTTTATTTTTACCAATACCTCTCTTATACCATACGGTCTCATCTAAAATTATGTACAATGTGTAAGAAAACAAACAATTTAATTTTAAAACAAACCATATTTTTTTTTATTTATTTATTTATTTTTTTTTTTTTTTTGTATCATTCATGAATTCGTCAATTTGAAATAATCGCGTTAATTAAACTCATAAATAGTGTGTAAAATAATGTTTCACCAATACAGCGTTTAAAGAGCTAATGATTTAGATCCTATAAATATTTAAATAATAAATAATAAATAATCTATACCGATTGGAAAAAAGGTTATAATTTTTCTTTTTTTCATTTTAAAATTATAATTAAATAAAAGCATAACTTACGGTATAATTTTGTGGATATTTTGCAAAAGTTCTTGGATCATAAGTTATCATAATTCCAATATCATCTTGCCAAATAGTTTCGTTCATTTTTGGTGATCGTGAGACAAGATACGTATTATAATGATTTAATCCGAAATAATCTGACGAGCCTCTAAAATATAAATTATACAGTTTGTGACAATTTCATAAAATACCGGCTCGTAAAATCATTCACGGCCAGATTTGCCAAAACTTTTCCAGTATTCTATTATTTGTCCATTAACCTTATGTAATCATTCCACGCATCAGTGAAAATTGGTAATCTTGATTCACTTAAACCTTCAAATTTGCTGTTTTCCGCAACTCGTTTCTTTAGAGTTTCTGGATAATCTCCCGTGCTTGAGAAAATTGGATTGGCAAACCAGCCGCAATTATAGTCAAACATTATATTATTTAATTCATGATCGTTAGGATTCATTGTATAACTAGAGTCACAATTCAAAACTATCCCAATAAGTCCATTATATTTGGGTCGAAATTCTTCATCGTAAATATGAAAAGCTCTAGCATGCGCTTTTAAAAGATTATGCCCACACAAATAACCAGCCGAATGATTTCTCTTATCTGCTTGTACAAGCCATGATTTTATAAAAATCATTTATAGTTTATCTATTGTTAGTATTATCTTTGATATATAGGATATATATAGGATATATATATATATATATATATATATAAAAGGATATATAATATACTTTTAAATTAGTAAATTTAAGAAAAAAAAATTAAACTTTTGACCCGCTTATTAAAAAATATAATAAAATAATAAATTACACGTTAATGTTAATTCAACATCTATCGATAAATTCTAATTGTTATTAAGTATTGTTGATAAAAATTATTATGACAATAAAAGATTATAATAAACATTGTTATTCTTACCCACACTTTTCAGCCAATTGGAAGCGTACAACATACTCACAATTCGCGGCTCATTAATTGTTGAGAATATTTTTACTCGGTGACCAAACTCTTTAAATACAAATCTCGCGTAATCGGCAAAGATTTCTACTATTTTCTCATTAGTCCATGCACCAAATTTCTCCAACGAATAAGGATGATCAAAGTGATAAATTGTAACTATCGGTTGAATTTGATTTTTTTCAAGCTCATCTAAGAGCGAATGATAATATCGAACACCATCCGGATTTACAATATTAGCATATCCGGTTGGAAGTAAACGCGACCAGCTCAATGAGAATCGGTACGCATTCATCTGAGAAGAAAATATATTTATAAATTAAAAGAAGATATGAATGTAAATTGATAGATTATTAGATCGAAGGAAAAAGAAAGAATTTCAATTAAGAAAATATTATTTTAACAAATTGCGGATAATTTGATTCAACGGTCTATTTATTTTTAGTCTTTTGTTTACATACGAGGCAATGATAAAAGAAAAAATAATAATTTAATCGAAACGTGTTAAAGACTCGTAATACTAACGATAAATTATCACAATTTTCTATTGCAATTTCTATATTATTGACCAAACAAATCCAATTGAATACAAATTAATATATACATGATTTGTGTAATTATAAAACTCACTCCCATAAATTTTAATGCTTTTACATCCTCCAAATAATGATGGTAAGAATCACTACTAATATCTAGAATATTTGGAAAGATTGAGTTCTTCTGGTGCAACAGGTTATCCATTTCACTTGCACTTTTTCCTATGAAGAAAATTGCAATTGTTATGAAATTTCAGTTGAGCCCTCGAGACTCAAATTCACATTAACACTATTAAATATAGGTAGCTGATCTAAATAATACGATATTTGTGATTTTATGTTGTATTTCAATATACACTCGGGAAGTTTAAATTATCATAGTTATCTCGATTATTTTAAGAATACAATTTATATAATCTTATATTTATATATTAAGAAAAACATAACGAGAAGTGAATAAATATATTTTTATTTTTTTTCAATGCAAGCAAAGAATTATTTTACGTATTCGGTATTCGCATTTAAAATAATTTAAACTCAATGCTGCAACTTGATACCTATAATATGTGTACATTTAAAAAAAAATAAAAAAATAAATATATACACTGTTAAATTATGACGAGGTAACTAATGAAAACATTAATGTTTTACCACTGGTATTCCAAGCTCCTTCTATTTGAAAAGCAGAAGATCCAGCTCCTATAAGAAATCCATCAGGGAAATCCAAATCAGAATTATTCGTCTCGACGTTACGTGATAATCTATATTTGCGTTAATAAGAAAATATTGTCCAATTTGACTATTAATGATCAACAAAATTTTCCAAAAACATACAAGTCAACGAAAAGACAATATTTTAAATATATGTGTAAGAGTGAAGAATTTTGCAATACAATATAATTAATTTTAATATTATTATGGAGTTGATGATTCCATATAAAAACTTACATTATATAAACAACAAGTATTACAATAACTGTAGTAGCAATGGAAAGTAGAACTAACGATTTGATATGGTTTTGAAGAATATTAAACATCCTGACATTTGAAGATATCACTATGAATTTGTTTACAATTTATTTTGGCTTTAACCTAATAGATATATAGAAGTTATGAAAAATCAATCAAACCTATTTATTCAAATAGAAACTTTGTATTTCATTGATATAAAAATAAATGATCACTACACCTAATACGTTTAAATATAAATGAAAATATGTAACTATTCTGCAGTCGGCAGAACGAGAAAGTTATATGATTGTTTGAAAATTAGAATTTATAACGTAATTTACTCTTCATCGTATCACGAGATTATATCAGAATATTTTAGATAAATTGATAACAGTCGCGATAACTCGAACTTATTCGACTACGCACTTCATTCCGATTAAACACACATGATAATTTTTATTCGTTTGCTCACATCCCATTGTAAAAGAAAGACAATCATCTAGATAAATGAATTTTTAAAAACAAATTTCACTTTATGATGATAATTTAGATATAAAATATACAAAATGTTAACATTCATTATAACTGTGTAAATACAATGTAATTAGTATCTTTAAATTTATTTATTTCAACATTTAAAATATTATTAAATAGACAAAAATCTAATGTTAAGTTATAAAAAGACATAATATACTTCTTCAGTTTTTAATCGAAAAAGGAAAAAAAACAATAAATTATAAAGTTAATTTTATGTAGTTAATAAATTATATTTTGTTCATATACTTTTTAATATAATTACGTACACGTTGGTTAAACAAGTTCGTCAGAATCTATATTTATGAATAATCTCATAGTACATTTTAAGTAACTCCGCAACAATTATTAGCAATTATTTTTCTAGCTTGTAAAACAATACCATAATTTGTTAATCAAAATTTTTGAAATACATTAAGTAAAATGTTTAAGTAAAATTAATTGAAAATATATACTTAAAATAATTAAACAATTAATATGTGTATTTTAATAAATTTTATTTCAATGTATGTACATTCATCTTAAATTATTAATTTGTAAAATGAATTACAATATATGTGGTGGGCAATTTCATAAACAAAAAAATTATTGTTAATACGTATATTATCACATTGAAAAGATATTATTTTAATTAAGGTATAGCATATATTTATTAAACTAAAAAATGAAAAATTTTTAATGATAAAGTTTGAAGTATGAATAAATTGTACTTAACTATCCATAATTAGAAATATTTAAAGCGCTTGATTGAAATATAATAATAATTATCTTTTATTTTGCAGTATAATTTATAATGTACTAGTATAAATATTGTTTTCGTATCGATTAATTTGTAAATAATGCTAAATTTATCTTTTACTACACAGACACATAATGAGTGCAAATATATTTATTTACATTGTTGTACGATCAAATAAATTTAATATAAAATCCATTATTTAGAGCCATTATTTTTAAATATGTCTTATTTCTTATTCCTTTTCATTAAATATTAAATTTGAACTGATAATTTTCAAAGTGTTTGATTACATGAATATATACATTTTGCCCACATATATTAGATTAGTATAGTTGGGTAGATAGTATAGTTAGATACACTATTAGTGAGAGAGAGAGAGAGAGAGAGAGAGAGATTGAAAATAAAACAAAATGAGAGCAAATAGAAAAGAAATTAAATTATAAAAAGAGAAATGTTTTCAAACCAAAAGCGGGGAAAAGCCTGCTTTTTAAAGTAGAAAAACAAATCTGAGAATCAAGGTCAATTGTAACGTAAACATTTGTCATCTACCATCTCTTATAGAAGGAATTCTTTTTCAAGAATTAAAATTCTGTATGATAGAAAGTAGCGATAGAATTGTAATGTAAAAGAAAAGCATGTGTACTAGATTTGTAAGAGTAGAACTTCAACTCTCCACAGATAAAAAAATTTTTCGTTGAAACATAAATGGAATTATTATTACATTAACGTATAAAGCAACTTCAAATCATCTACTAAATTTCATAAAAATATGAAGGAGACCAATCGATATAAATCTAATAACTTAATTATATCTATATATTTGAAGCAATAATTACTTAGCCGAACGAGATTTTCTTTCATTTTTGAAAAAAAATATTTATACCTATAAATTTGAACGACTAAAAGCTCGGACAAAATCTAATTAACGTATCATTATTTTAAATTCACGATACTATTTCTATTTGAAAATTCATCAAGTTTAAATGGATAATTTGGAGATTATCTATATAGATTATTTATATTTATATAAACCTCGACAATTCAAACATCAAAAACTTTAAATATATTTATCATCTTATTTATGTAAATTATATATTCTATATTTCAAATCATTTTATTATTTTTTATTTCATGGGCGACATTTTTAGTCTCATATTAGTAGTATGGGTTTGAAAATTATAATTATAAGTTGAATTGACAGAGGTATTTATAAAAATCGAGCTTCAACATCTACGCGCTAACTAAGCAAATAAAAAAATCTCAAACTATATTTCTTATATTACTGTTATAAAAATTTTAAGCTGAAAAAGGTATTTCATAATGATGACGTTGTAAAAAAAAAATAATTAAAAGTAATATATATGTATTAAGAAATTACAATTTATTGCAATATTACGTTACGTTGTTTAAGGCGCAGAAAGAAATTTTCGACACCTATTAATGACTAATTTGAAAATTGGCACAAAATGAGGCAAAAGTATGATAAGATAGCGATTCTTTTTACATTCTATATACAAATACTATAAACAGCGAATATAATTTTCAAAATGTAAAATAATTTCTGTAGATAAATATACTGAAATGCAAATTCGTAGCAATGACCACATTAACTTCTTGTATAAGACAATTTAAAAAAATTTTATTAGAAGGTAATCAATTGTATTTAATATTCATAAAATTGCGTAGAAATTTTTGATTAACGATATATTGTAAAAATCAGACGATAATCAAATTTTATATTTCATTATACTCGAACTTTTCTAAATTATTCTACAGTACGAAGACGAATTAAAATTAAGAAAATGTATTTTTCTCAATTATTTGAACAACATATAATTTATAATAATTGACCAACTTCGTATGCTACGTAGAGAGGAAAATCAAAGGAATATTTTTAATGAAAATTGATGAAAAAATGTATGGCAATTTATGTTTATATTATCCACTACAAGATATCGATTGAGTTATTTATAATTTAATATTATTTATAGTTGGAAAAAAAGTAGAGCCCTACAGTTTAATTATGTATATTAATTTATTTCTTAATATTAGCCATAATGGATACTGCGATTAGAATGTAAATTATTGTATTATTGTAAATTTTACCGTAAATGATTTTTGTCTAGGAGCCTAAAATGTTGATATATTGAAAAATAATTTTATGATATTCCATTAATTTTTACGTGCACAATATGGATCTATTAAAATTGTGCTCTTGCGAGATCGCTTAAAAATTAATTTTCATCTTGGAATTCCGATACAGCTTGGTGTGACATAAAAATAAATTAATCTTCAATCCCGTCTTCAATAAGTTGAATTACTTCAACTGACGTCAAGGATCGAATATTAATCATAAAATTTTTTGTCAAAACTAAGCGGATAATATTATAGTCAAAAATTAAATGGCAAATAAAATTGAAACGCACAAGCATTTATTTAAGCATCAAAGTGACTAGAAAATAATATACCGTAATTACTGCTATCAATGCTAAATGCCTTAATTTTAATGAATAATTGATCAAGATTTTATAGCATTAATAATTGAAATACATAATAAGTCTAATAATATTGTAATATAATTTAAAGTAAGATTAATTACCACTATAATCAATATACAATAATAAACAATAAATAGTATACAAGCGCGCGCATACACACACACACACACACACACAGAGAGACATACAAAGCTATATTAAACAATTTGAATTAATATATTAACAATAGAATTAATAGAAATTGGATTGTTATATTATGTTATAATAATGTTTAGTAAATATTTTCAATGACGTGCTTCAAAAATTTAAATAATATATTTTTCTAGATTCTCTAATTTATCGTCTAAGTTAAGTTAATTTTTATTAGTCGGTAATAATAAAGTAGGATATTTTGATGTCTGAACGTACAAAGAAAGTAATTTTATACTTTTGTTTGCGTTACAATTCCTCGACGGCAAATTACATAATTTACGTTATGATTATTGCTTTAATTACGGTAATAAAGACCTTGAAGATAGAGAAGGAAAGATAAGTTGCTTTCGGATTTTGATGCTAAATTTAATATTATGGATTTTATCTAATTACCAATATTTATATTGTAATAACTGCATTAGAGACGAATCGCTCATACTTTTATAATACAGGTTTTTATGATTTTTACAATTCAATAAGATTGCGGTGATATGCGAGAGAATAAACTATTTTAAGCTTCATTAGAGTTAAATTCGAAAGACGGATGTGTGCGTATTTTTGTAAGGCCCAGTCATGTAGTATCTAACTCGAACCGTTGACGTAAATCTTTTAAAAGATATTCTTAGAAACAACAGAAAAAAAAAAAAAAAAAAAAAAAAAAAAAAAAAAAAACTACAGCTCCATTTAATATTCTTCGCATGAAGGAAATCGAGCCACAAAGACATACTCAGGAAACACTTTCCCGATAAAAACGTTGCGTGAATCTCAGATAAAAAAGAAAGAAATCTTCCTCCTCGGAGCCTCATAAATTCTCATCCGACTCGATTTCAATTTTCCCAGCACAAAGAAAATCCTCTGATCCCGCAGAAAACTCATTGCGCCGTTCGCACAGCTGCTTGCTAACCGCAATTGGATTCTCCAGTCGTGGGTGCCAAGGCTCGCGCGTATTAACTCCTTTAGTGGCCACGTGTCGACGAGCGACTAATATGTGGAAATCGACTTGTCGCGGTCGCATTTTAGGGGGGAGGAAAAGAATTACGGGGGACAACGCACCTCTTGGCCGAAGCTCCCGGAGCGTTTACGGCGCACCGCGCAAACTTGTAATTGCTTATCATCCGGGTTCGAGCATTAGTTCGTTGTTGAGAAAAGCACGTCATTTTCGCCAACTGGGTCAAATTGTTTATTTAGTGAAA